CCCCAAAACCCCAAAACCCCAAAACCCCAAAACCCCTTTGTTATTTAAAGAAATAGAAATCAGTGTTTATAACAAATCATCTAAATATGGAACTCAATTTATTCGGAACCCAGGAAGAAGACTATCTAAAAGATCCCTTCTTCTCATCAGATCATCCCTTGTTTACTGAGAAGCAAGAGTTTCAGCCTGAGGCTCCAGACTATAATTTCACGTTTAGCTGTACTAGGTATGTCACCGTTTTGATAAAATTTCCTGTTTCAAAATTTCATCTTTCACAGAGTTTTCGTTGAAGAGAATTAGCAATTAATTTTGCAAATCACCTAGTTTCGAAAAATTCTTTTAAAATTAATGTAAAAATCTCGAATGTTCACCAAGATATCTTCTCATAACATTTTGTGTAGAGACAAGAATGCAAGCGAGAAAGACCAAGAGCATCTCAGTCCTAAGTGGAAGAAAGAGAACAAAGTCATAAAGCTAGATAAGCCAGCTCAGAACGAAGATCTTAAAGTTCAGAACGAACTGGTTAAGCAGAGCTCAACTTGTCGCCTCCTTGAAATGATCAAGAAGGAAGCAAATATTGGTAAAAATACTGAGGATCTTTCAGAGAAGGAGGAATCCGAAGTTGAATCGAACCCTTCAAGCGAGTACCTCCCCTGCAGAAAGCCTAAAAGAAAATGAAAGAAGAGAAAGGACGTTATCTTTAAAGCAATCCTGCGTGAGTGAAGGAGATTTTACCAAATCCAAGTTAATAATTTGACTGGGTTCATCATCTCCAAAAGAGAAAGGAACGACTCCTATCTGTACAATTGTATGAAAAAGTTCAACCAAGAAGGTTTAAAGAGAGCAGGAACTTTTGAAGAGAACTTTTATCTTGCTGCCTTACTCTATCCACAAGACTTGAAGAGGAATCTGGATGCATTCCTTGATGAAAAGGAGTGGGATGATTTCGAGCTGGCTAAGCTAGAGATGCTAAGCACGATCGAAAAGATCCATAACACTCTGTATAAATACTCGTATGATAAGCTCGCTTTCTTTACTTCAAAGCCAGAAATCGCTTTCCTTTTCTGTTATTATTACGAGAAGGGAGCTGGCCCAGACAAGGAGAAGGAGAAGTTCAGCGAAGAGTTCGAACTAATCAGGCAGAAATGCATGGATACCTTAAATAAGTAAGGTATCCCCTCTATAACATTCATTGTACATAAAAAGTATTCTTAAGATAAAATTTCCAAAAAAGAGGGTTTTTAGTTCGATTTTGTGAGGTCGATGCTGGCCAGAAAGGTGTACAATTCAATATATTTCGAGTAGATAGCTCTAAGAGTACATAGAGGAAGATATAAAATAAAATATCAAGGGTTAGTACCAGTTTTAGCTTCACTGTCAATGTATTCTTGATTAATTTTAGAACAATTGTAATTTAAAATCATTGACCAGATTCTTAACCTCGATTATAATTTATCTCCGATATCAGAAAGTTCTTACGATATGCAATAGGTTATTTCTTATATGCCATTTTTGAACATTTTTGAAAGAAAATTTATGAGGATACTTCTAATCTGATTCACTGCTCTGCATTAATTGCACATTTGATCAAGAGAACGTTTAGTTCACCTCTTCTTGCGCTTCCGATTGGAGTACCAAATCCGTTTCATTTTCCTTCAATCCCGATCTTTGGTAGAAGGAACATTCTTAAAATTGGGGATCTTGTGAGGAGAAAAGAAATTTGAAAAATTTCGGAATTTTTCATTTCATAACATTTATATCACAAATTAATTTAAGCTAAACTTCACCGGGCTCGATTTTAATTGACCTGGTTCAATAAGGCATATTCCCTCTGGGGTTTTGGGGTTTTGGGGTTTTGGGGTTTTGGGGTTTTGGGGTTTTGGGGTTTTGGGG